AACAAATTGATTTTAAAGAACTATTTTTACATTTAACTCAATAAAAAAAATTTCAGACCACCAGACTCGCTCGAGGACCTCCCCCCCCCCAATCCAAATTCCTGGCTGCGCCCTCGTCCTTGGGTCACAATATATTAATGATTATCTCATCTTTGGTCACAACTTGCCCATTGCTTCACAAATAGATGCGGTATTCTTTGAACATCCTCGCTCGCTCCATGCTCCCTGCTGACTCTTTTTCATTTCGGTGCAGTATGTACCAGTGGGGGTGATACCTGTTTGGAAATGTAATTTGAAAAATATATCGACCGTAACGCGTTCGTAACGAATTTTCAATAGATTAAACCGGAAGGTCACGACATTAAGTTTGGCGAATGTGAAAAGGTGTGCGTTAAAGTACACCGTTTTCACGACGTTTGAAATAATATTCCTATCATCTCCAATGTTCCAAATCGACTATATATCAACGTTGCGTTCAATATAAATATTTTACCAGTTCCCCAATTGCTATAGGACGAAGCTGTGTACAGCCAGTTTCCTGCCGGCCAAGTAGCCACACCTGGATATTGGCTATAGCTGTTGCTTAGGCCGATAAACGTGTGCCCACTACTCCTAGAGTAATAATTAAAAACAATAGAAACAAGTCATCGTCATATAATTTAACATAAGATTAAGCTACGTGTGTGAGTGTACAAACAATCCCTTATTATGTGATCATTGCAGTCACTGAATTTGTTAACACGCAAACGAATGTAACCGTTACCGTATACGTTACCACATGAGCTCCCGCTGACACATATTTGTATACTACACTATGCCTATGATAATGGACATTAATTTTTTTAATGTTCGACTTTCTTGCGGATTTCTTGTTTAGTGAGAATATTTTGAGACGTTTCAATACTGCATCTACGCCCATATCAAAGAGATATAAACGAGTATATTCTACTTGCAGCTGGAAAACGACGATTTATACCTGTCAGCTGTTTTAATTATTTGTTTAAATTATCCCGCGGAAAAAATATCGAGTGCAATGTGACCGCGGCTGCTCGTTTTTCTCTATAAATCGCATACGATCAGGACGTAGATATAAGGAAGAATGTGATGGCCTAAACTACCCGAACTTTAACATTTAGCTTCTGCTTGAGGAACGTTAGCGAAATGGAGAAGACCGCGACGTACATTTACAGCGAACTCCCCTGACCGTGAACATGTCCGCGGTAACAACGACCCGTCACAGAACGTTGAAACGGAAGTAGATTGTAGAGAGATATTGAAAATATTTAAAGTGACTATTTTAAGTAAATTGGGTTACAGCTAACAAACCGTTGGTAAATTGAGGCCAATAAATGTTAAATTTTCGTGGTTTAGCCCATCCCACTCATCCTTATCTACTCCTCATACGATGTTATAACCGCTATATATAAGCTATAATCTATTTCTATCTATATCTATATCTATATCTATATTTATATCTATCTATCTATATATCTATCTATCTATCTATCTATCTATCTATCTATCTATCTATCTATCTATCTATCTATCTATCTATCTATCTATCTATCTATCTATCTATCTATCTATCTATCTATATATCTATCTATCTATCTATCTATCTATCTATCTATCTATCTCTATATATATATATATATACGTA